TTTTTTTTTTTTCCTCCCCCCTGTCTGAGTTGCTGTCGCTGTAGATGCAGCACTTTATCTCTGCTGCCTCCGACTTCCTGAGCGGGTGTCTGCCTTGTTTCCCTGTCCATGACATCACGTGTTGCTGACTCTAACCTTGTCGGCCCACCCTCAATATCTGATCCTCGATTGTACAGATGGTAGTTGCTAGGCGACACATGCACCACCAAATCTCCCTGGTTCCCTGGACAGCTTTAACCCTTTGAGGGTCGACAGGCCCTCTCCGAAACTCGTTCTCAGGGTCGGCCAAATTTAAAAAAAAAAAAAAATTATTTTCTCTTATGAAAAGATAGAGAATCTTTTCCCGATCATAAAGACACCAAAAGTTTGAAATTTGTTCGAAAACTTACGGAATTATGCTCTCGCAAAGTTAGCGGTCTCGGCGATGTTTACGCATCGGCGATTTTGCCCACTTTGAGCCCCATTTTCGGCCAATTTCACTGTACTAGTCGACAAAAAACATGAATATTTCGCTAGAACTCCATTTTTTCTATCGAATGGGTGCAAGAAACCACTCGTTTATGAAATTCAACTATCCAGTACAGTGGTCAGAATTTAGCAATTTTGCCAATTTCACACATATTTCAAAAGATGCCAATTTCCGAATAGGGTCCAGAATAAACAAGAAAGACATTCCTGCACTAAAATGACATTTCCTCTGGTCATTAGTCACGTCTCAAGGCCCTCTTATATTCTTTTGCTTTCCACTTTGAATTTTTATTCTCACAAAAATAGAAGATTTACTGTTATGCAGACTACTGCATTAGTGTAAAAAATGGTATAATATATTATTGGTGCACTTGAGAAAGAATATTAGACTCACCAGTTGATGTGTATTGCACGCTTGGCACGATTTGTTTACTTTTGAAGTTTGGTAAAAATCGAACATTTCTGCTACTTTGAGCTCAATTTCAAGGCACCTTTCTTTGTAAAACCAGTCAAAATCATCTCAATTTCTGTAATATGTCTTCCATTCTATAAAATGAGACCAAGAAAACTAGAATACAACAATAAATACCATACGAAAATACACTGCAAAGTCGCTGATTTATTAAAAAAAAATGGTAAAAAAATTTTTTTCTCATTATGCACTGTGTGCTGCAGGATTTTTTTTAGACTGTGCACACTGACCACATAGACCCATTCTTTCATATGAAGGCCTACCAGCTTTCTCCCACTAGATTTGAGGCCGCTAGAATTTATGAGTACTAGTATGTCAAAAACCCCTACGCGTAAGACGTACTAGTACGACGAAAACCCTCAAAGGGTTAACTGTACTTCCTTTCCTGCTGCTCTGAGGTGAAGATTGTTTGTAATCAGGGGCATCTATTAGTTAAACCCTAAAGTTGCTTTTTTTTTTCTTCTCCATTTTGTTGGACACCCTTCTGTGCCTTTGCTTGGGCTAGGGCAGGTACCTGTGCTGGCTGAAGGTCTTGCTGGTAACCATCTCTTCACTGGTGTCTTGGTGATGGGATTTACCTACAGACAATTGGCCAGTTATAATTTTAGTATTTTATTCCTCTGAGTGTGCTACCAGGATGAGTGTTTTGCAATAGGAGGGTTCCCATAGTACTGTCTGGGACATTGTGTCAGGCCCTCAGTAAGGTCACACTTCCCTAGGATGCCCAAGCAGGTGCCTCTTTGAACTCGTATAGGTATTTCAGTTGCAGGAGTGTTTCTTCCTGTCTTAAGAATTTTGTTACCATGCCAACATTGAGGGTAGAGTGATTCCCTTCTTTCCTGTTATATTATTATTATTATTATAATCAAAAAGAAGCGCTAAGCCACAAGGACTATACAGCTTTCCTGTTATAATTTATTGTATTACCCCCTTATGGATTTAGGGTATCCCTCATGAATGTAATAGTGATGAGGGCATTGATCCTCAGAACAATTAACAAATATGACATGGCTCATAGTAACACCACAAAACAGTTTGTTAATCATGTAACGACTCCTAATCCCCAATGCAGTCGTTCAATTCTAAAAATTCTACCAGACTTAGTGAATGTCTACTCATTTCTGAGCTGACACCTCTGCTTATTATTTCCAAAGTCTCCTCACAAGTCATTTTTACTCTGGATTCCTCACTCTGACTTGTGATATTGGTACCCAGTCTACCGATCATTTTATGGCCATTTTACAAGGAAAGAGAAAATGGAGAAACTGGAGAGGACTTTTTTTTTTTTTTTTAATTAATCACTATCTTTCGTTGTTGATTTTTCATTGCTGCTCTCTTAGGAAATATGTAACTTGAGTATAGGACACAGGAGACTCGATGTGGTTATTTGGAAATGCCCGGTACTTCTTGCAAGAATTATAAAGTCCTGTAAACAGTCAAATGACATTCAAGTGTCCCATTAATCAAAGAGACGTAGACTACATTACCAGCCTCTCCTTCAGCATTCCCACCTACCCTCTGGGAATCTCCACTTTTAAACTGTCCAAACAAATTTACATTCACAGCGTAGTGCTCCAAAAGTAGATCTACGTTTTTTTACATATTTTCAAATATAACAAAAAAACGTAGATCAAAGTTTTTTATACACATTTTCAAATGTAAAAAAAAATCTTTCTTTTACATACTTTCAAATGTTGAAAAAGCGTAGATCTACGTTTGGACAGTTTAAGGGTTAATGAGCAGACACCCCTGCACTTTGTTGATGCTGACTTACCACACCAACTGTAGCTTCCTCCTTTCACACTTGAGTTCACACTTTTTCCCTGACATCAGAATTCTTTTGCCATTTGTCTTTGTCTTCTACAGTTTTAGTGCTCTTTTATAAGAATAAAACCTATTCTGTACTCAGAAGTACAAGTAAGTTATGTTTTGTATATATTTGTGTGGTAATAAGTTGAATAATAAATTTCCACAGTCTTTTACATGAGACTTAGAGATGTTGTAAAGCTTCACAGAGTATATTATCATCATCATAGTTACTATTAGTTTTAGTGAATAAAATGCTGTGTATATAATCCTTTGGAGTATACTTTGAATGTTTGCAATGGAAAAAATTTAGAACATCTCGTGTAATTTGCCAGTCTATGTATTAACATTCTGGTAAGATTCCTTGAAGAGGGGAGAGGGTTGCCTTGATGTTTATGAAAGTCCCTTTATCCAAGGAATTTAAGGTACCCTCCCATTTGGATCAAACCTGATTACCCCCATTATCCAGGGTATTGAGGGTGTAGCACTTCTCAGATAATGTAATACTCAAAATCCACACGTAGCACCCCGCATGGCAATGCTCATCCTCCTCTCACGGAGGTTTAAAGCCCGAAGGTTGAGGCTCATCCTGAGCTTGTAGAGGCGACGTTGGTGGAGGTGACCGTCGGTGGAGGCACGACTCCTGAAGGGCTGCTCTTGAGGACCAGCCTCCGTCTCTGGGCTCTCCTGCGATGTCTTCCGTCCACGCATACGTAGTACCAGCGACACCCACCGTGACTCTGATGGTGAGTCTGGGAGATGAGGGGCGAGGAAGAGGGTGTTAGTAGGGTTAGTGGAGATTAGTGGCATTAGCTGGCTGGTGATGGTAGTACGTGGATGGTAAGAGGTGACTGGTGAAGGTGTTAGGTCACTGCTGATGTTAGCTAGCTGATCACTGCTGGGGTGTTAGTTGTCAGTTATTTTGTAGCAGCAGGGCTGTAAGTGTCATTATGTTAGTGGCAGTTGAGTTGATAATTAAATGATTTGCCTGGTTTTGTTAGACTTGCGATCTACTTTTGGTTTAGCAAAGCTAATAATTGTTTGCTAACAGTTTAGGGAGGTGTCTTGCTACTGGTTAATGACTTGATCCAAGGAATTGGAGTGTGCACTCGGATCAAACCTAATTACCTTACATTCCCAGGTACTGTATGACCCCTAAACTTCACATTAATAAAAAGTTCTAGATTGTTAGCTATGTTATTAGGGTTCCTCATTAACTATTTTAAATGCTGTGATTTGTATTAGTTCTATTTATTTGCTGTTAGCTGATAGCAGGGTGGCAGAAAGGGGGAAAAGGGGCTTAAGCCCCCAAAGCAACCCCCCCCCCCCCATATTAAAAGTAGTAATGCTGCTTCAAAAAGTCTTCAACACCCTACACTTCCAATCAGATAGCAACCCCTAAGCTTCCCCCCCCCCCTTACCTTTCCTCATAAAAATTCTGGCATTGCCCCTGGCTTGCAGTAAGTTACATTGGTTATTTGTATTAAATAACTATGATTGATATGAAATCAGAATTGAAACAAATGAGATGAAAAGGCTGTATATTTCAACCTCAGCATCCCTTAGCAGAGAGGTATATATGTTAAGTGTGTGTGTGGGGGGGGGGATCTGTTAATGAGGGTTGTAAGGGTGAAAAAATTCACCGATGAACTGTTCTGGAGAGACGTCATTTGGTGAGGAATCCTAGAGAGCAAATGAACTTTTAAGAATGAAAGAGGAAAAAAGTTTGATGGGGAGGTGGTGGTACTGGAAAGATGGAGAGGATAGAACTGATGACTTAGCGATGAAGGAAAGGCAGTGATTTCGTACAAGGGGCAGGGAGGATAACACTGTATAGGACTAAGGAGGTGGATGTGGGGGGAAAAGTACATGAGGTAGTGGGTAGAATGAAAGAAGATAAAAGTGACTGGGATAAATGGGATTAAAACAGGTATTAAAAATAGGTGGAGATAGTGTTCGAGTGGTTGGTGTATTTATTCAGTATATGCATAACGGCTGGGAAGTTACCAAAGGAGTGGCAGAGCATGCATAGTTCCTTTGTACATGTATAGGGAAAAAGGGGATAATAAGTGTAAGAATTATTGGGAAATAAGCTTGCTGAGGAACATTATGGTAGAATTATTACTGGAAGAGTTTGAGGTAAGACATTAGGATTGCAGAGTTGCAAGGATGATTCAGAAAGGGTATAGGATGCATAGACTAAGTATTCACATTGAAGTATATAAGTGAGCAGTATCTAGATATAAAGGAGCTGTTTGGTATATTTATAGATTTAGAAAAGGCATATAGTAGGGTGGATAGGGGCTACCATGAGGCAGATGTTGCAAATATGTGACATAGTAAGTAGTCTGCTACTACAGCAGCTCAGTGTTTTTTTTTTTTTTTTTTTTTTTTTTTTTTCCCCAAGAATGAGGTGCAGGTTAGGGTAAGTAGGAGTGGAACTATTTCTCAATGTAAGTAGGACTTAGGGATGCTTCATTTTGCCATATTTATTAACATATACTGTGTACGAATGGTATACAATACCGACAAGATGAGATTAAGACACATGCGCAACATCTGGGTATCTTTATTGTAGACGTTTCGCCAACCAGTGGCTTTATCAATACAAATTCTAGGACATAACTTGAAGACAGTAGAACTATGTACAGAAGATGAGGTAATCAGTCCCTCAACCTAGGAGTAGGTGCGAAGAGCACCATAGTTCTACTGTACATAGTTCTACTGTCTTCAAGTTATGTCCTAGAATTTGTATTGATAAAGCCACTGGTTGGCGAAACGTCTACAATAAAGATACCCAGATGTTGCGCATGTGTCTTAATCTCAACATATACTGTATGACCATTACGAGTTCAGCACTGGTTTATGATTATAATTAACATACAGATGGGGTTGTGAAAAAAATGAATATTAGGGTGTTGGGAAGGGGTGTGGAATTGAAAGACGTTGGATGTGATACAAAATGGGAGTTATCCACGTTGCTCTTTACTAATGACAGTTCTTTTTGGAGGTGTTAGAGACAACTTATAAAGGTTGGTGAATAATTTTTTTTTTTTTTTTTTTTGGGGGGGGGGGGTCTAAAAGGAGGCAACTGAAAGTAAACATAGAAAAGAACAATGTGATGAAAGTAACAAGCTCAGGCAATAAATGGAATCTGGTTAGGAGGGACTATGGAGGAAGTGGATGTATTTAAATATTTGGGTGTGGACATGTCGCCAGATGGGTCTAAAGTGAACCACAGAATAGATCAGGTGGGTGGTGCATTGAAGTATCTGTGAAAGAAGTTTATGGAGGGAAAAAATGAGGGGAGGGGGGGGGGAGATGTGTATGTGCCAAAGTAGTGGAACAGTACCAGGATTTTCATTTGATTGCGAGAGACGGGTTTTGCATGTTGCAACAAGGCTAGAGGCAATGTTTGAGAGTAATGTAAGGTGTAAGTATAATGCAGATAATTCGAAGCATAGAAAACAGTAGGTACTGTGGGATCACAAAAGGTATAATTCAGAGGGGTCGAGTTGGTTTGGGCATGTTAGCGGTGTATAAATCTGGGGTGGAGGAGGAGTAGGAGACAATTTTAGGAGTTTGAACACCCAGCATGCTTGTGTGAACTTAAGAGTGAATGGAGACCAGTCATATTTTCATGGATTTGCTGTTGGAATCTGAGCAAGGTAAAGGGATTCAGGAAATCCAGTTAGCCAGGCTTGAGTCTTGAAGATGGGAAGGGGGCAGTGCTTGCCTGCACTCTGAAGGAAGGGTAGGGATGTTGCAATTGGAGGATAATTTTATCGTGATGCTAGTACATTTCTGAAAAAAATGACGACTAACTGAACGATGGCTACAGTGTTTTCTTAGGGTCACCCTGCCTTGGCAGGAGATGGTAAAGGGGAGGGGGGAGGAGTAATGTAGGTGTATGAGAAATGTGGAAAGGCTTAAAAGGAAATGTAAGAGCAAAATGGTACTGTATTAATACACTATCTGGGTATGAGACGGGTTTAGAATGTTGCAGTGAGGAGGCTAGAGGCACCGGAGATGAGTTTGAGAGCAGTGTGTTAATACGCACAGAAATTAGACGTTAGTGCTGGCATCACCAAGGGTATAACTCAAGAGATGAAGGGTTGAGGTGGTTTGGGCAGGTATAGAGAATGGAGAAAGTGTGATGGTGTATAAATTTCGTGAAAGTAGGGGTTGCCTCAAAAATTATTTATTTAGCAGGCTTACAAGTGATCTGCTTGGCAGTGGGTGAGAGGGGAAGCAATTCATAGTGGTGGTAACTGGCGAGAAACTGCTTGGTTTGGGAATAGCTGAGTGAAACAAGCTGCCTAGTAGCATCACTGAAGTTAGCACCTAGGATAGCTAAGAGAAAGGTTGGATGTGAGGACTTTCCTAGAATGGGCCAGTAGGAATGCTACTGTACTCTTACATAGTTTCATTAGGAAGGAGTGTGGAGAATTTGTGCTGGATTTTAGGATTTTTTGGCATATGTAATGGCATCTGATATTCACTGTCCTAGCGACAAATATCAAAGTTGGCTTTAGAAGTGAGCTGATGATTGTGGGTTCTGTTGTTTGTAGTAACACTAGTTCAGAAGCATAGAGCTTTACCAGTTATTTTGATAGCTGTGTCGTAGATGGTTGAGTTGCCCTGGCCATATCCGACTGCTCTCACGTTGGGCTCATCTCAAGTTTAAATTGTTCATTTCAACTCGATCGTCCCACAAATAAGTATGAACACAAGTGTTAAATTCTTCCACAAACATTCAAAGTCATACATTTATTGGAAAAAAAAATAGCCAAAAATTACATATATAACATGTACATGCAGTAGGTAATGTTTTTATTAAAAACGTAAATATAAAAGGACTAAAGCTTAAACGTATGAAAGGCAAAACTGATAAATTAATCAAAGTGAGCAATCAGCCCTGAGAGGTAAGCATTCAGGTAGCTCTGTATCATTCTAAATTGCATAATATCACCTCAAGGTGTTCATAACATGTGCATATACAAGGCTAATAGTAATATAATTAAGCCCTAAACCCGACAGGGTCACAGCGCTATATACAGGGATAGTCAATTTTCTTCAAGGAGAAGCTGTATAGCCCTTGTGGCTTAGCACTTCTTTTTGATTATAATAATAATAATCAAGAAGTGGGTGCCTTGATGCTGAAGGTTTATAATCCAAGAATTGGAACCTTTCCTTCCCTTCGATTTAACCTGATGGCCACTATTCCCTGTATGACCCTTATGGGTTTAACACTTCCCATAAACAGCAATTTTGTTTGTAAGTGCAAAATTTTATATTACAGAAGTGAAATACATGTATACACATGAGCACATATGGTTGTCACTGAGCGTGATAATTACACTGGCACAGGTTTCATTATTCACTCAGTGACAGCCTACACTGAAATATGCAGACTAGCAAGTCACACTGAGGAGTGTTGGTTTTAACACCCCCCCCCCCCATTTTAACAAATAGGAAGGTACACTACACTAGGACATGCTGGAGGTAACAACTGCCACAAAATGCTTTCAAATAAGGCTCCAATAATAGTCAATCGACGTGTAGGCTGCAGTAACAGCCAACCGACGTTTAGTAATGCTTACAGCAGAGAACACGCAGGCACAATACACAAATAACCTGCTGTGATTAGTTAATAATCCAGGTCAGACCGAAACAATCAGTTTTCTTTTGTGTGGGTTATTTGTGTATTACAGGCAAAATGGGTCTAATGACAATGACAGATCACCGAGAT